AAGTAATTAGGCATAAATATTAGCATGACAAAATAAGGTGATTAATGGAATAACTAATTGTTTATGTGTGGTCAGATAGCAGATATAAATTGTTTGCCTACTAACAAATATAAATTCATTGGTCATTTGATATATTGGATTTAAACAAAATAGTTGATGAAAATATATAATGGTAATATATACGGCTATTAAAAGCATAGTAATTAAAATACAGTTATGTAATAAAAATATCATGATTGTGTCGTAAAAGTGACGGGTTTTGTAAAAGTACATATTGTAGATCATATAGTGATTAAAAAAGTCTTATATCTTGTATATTATACTTTTTTAATCACTATATGATCTACAATATATACTTTTACGACACAATCATAATATATATGTATAATTATATATATATATATATATATATATAATTATATATATATAATATAATATATATAAAATGATGACAGTATGGAAAATATAATAGTAGTATAATGTAGTAATAATGAAGCTTCTCTAAAGGGTTGAATCCTTGCTCAAGTTTTGTTTGGTATGAACCACTTCCCAGACAAAGACTTGAAAACAGCTTCATCTTCTCATTCTTAATTTTAGTCTTCATTCATTTTTTTTTTCATTCATTAATATTAAGGCAATCTTATTGGTAGAAACCCTACAATCCAAGTGTTATTACAGATAATTATTAATGTAATGTTTAAGTTCACCCAGAAATGAAGGCAGGGAGTGTAAAATATGTGAGTTTTCTAAATTGTGGTAATTTTTTAGGAACTGATGGATAACAGAAGAGTGGAGGCAATTGGTTTTAGCATTTACATAATCATATACTGTAGGGCTTAAAACATATCCTCTATTGCAAGAAACATCTGCTTATAAGAAAATTAGCTTCTATTTATTTCCTCCATGTAAAAATTTATAACCTACAGAGTGAAAAATAAAGAGATATTAGATCACTATATTTTGCGAGCTAATGCCCCTCACTTAAATCATCGAGCCCCAACTTCAAATTCGGCTCTCAGCCCCACCCCACCCTTCACCACTCCCATTTCCTCTTTCCTTCCCTCCTTCCCCTCCCCTTCCACTTCCCTTCCCTATATGCCTTCCCCTTTTATTACTCAAACCCTAGCTAATTCTAGGGTTTCCCAATGCATTTTCACTTGTAAAATGGTAACCAATGCCACGCTTGGTACTGATAGAAATACAGTCTCATTGATGACAGAAAGTCTTAGAGAATCCTTCTTTAAAGTCTTTGAGTTTGTAGGCATAAACAAATGGATTAATTGCCATGTTGGATATGACAATAAATATAGCAATTTTATTAGAAACATGATGAATAACGTCGAAACATTCACATATTGTGTAAACAACATACAACAAAATCAGTGGAGTAATACAGATGGTATAGACCAGTGTGTTAATGGACATAGTAATGATGAAATTTCGTTGAGCATCGTGTGCCTTGTCTTTCTGAAGGGTTTGTGATGGCGAAATGTTTTTCTCAACATCTGCTACACTGCTGTCATTAATACTTGCAGTACTAGGCTCACCATTTATTTGTTGTGGAATAGTTGATCCAGCTCGAAATTTAGTTTGCTTCTTGAGTGTGATATATATGTGATAGTAGCAGAATGTCATAGTGCAAATTGGAATTATCGCATTTGCCAGCAATAGAATTGTACCTGACAGCATCTGAAAGCCTTCGTTGATATAATAAAAGGTACATGTTCCAGGAACTGCAGGATCTTCTTCAAGTATGAACGCATACTGAAATGTTATTAGAAATGCAGCTACGAGTGGAATACATAATTGTGGTAAATTGCTTCGCATCTGGTTACCTCTTATCCAGTACTTTAACGGATGCACCACTGCGATGTACCTCTCAACAGAAATGAAGACTAGGTTTAGCGTTGAGGCTGACAATATTTTTTAACAATTTGGTTTTGTTTTCTGCCTGAGAAATGCCTGAATCATAAACTTTGAAGGCTAATTTCACAAATATTGTTCTTTAAACAGCTGTAGATTCAAACACTTGTAGCTTCATAAGGAGATGTCGGATTTAAATGATTATTTTACCCATTTTAACAGTGTACTAATACAGTAACCAGAAATTGATTTTTGCGACGAGTGACTGGTTTGGCTTGTCTTTGCACAAATGTATTATTGAAAAACTTTCACAAATCCACAGAAATACCACTTCCTAAAAACAGACAATTATTTAAAAAGTGAAATAAATATGTGGTTGAAATTGTCATAATATTATCCTAGTTAGATCAAAAAGGTTAACAAGGAACATGGAGCCAACATGTGATTAAAGCAGTGCACAATAAAAGCCAATAGTACTGCAAAAATTATTTGCTTTAAAATATTCTTGTTTATTTATTTATTTACTTATTGACACTTCACCTTTAGAACGGTGGCACACACAACTCTTGTGGTGCGGTCTAACAACAATAACAACTAAGATACAAAAGTAATAACCAATACAAAAACAAATCATATAAAGAAAAGCAAATTAAGCAGGAATGCAAAAAAAAAGGAAAGCCAGTAGCTTAACTCAAAAAGTTGTTAACTACTTGTGTTTAGAGCTACTGCAATCAAAATATGTAAAAAGTGTCCGCCATGATGACCAGACTTCAGATTTTCTCAAATAAATAGATACTGCAGGCCTATTTTTATGATTCCACGTTCTCAAAAGAGTATACAGACAAATAAGTGCCAAAAACAACATTTGCTGATCATGCATTAGCATTTGTAATAGCCACGATGTTTTCATAGGCCCTATTTGTAAATAAGCTTGTTTGCCAGGGTAAACACAATTTGGACAGTCTTCAGAAGTACTGTAATTCAAGCATGTAGAATACCGTAATAATTCTGTGATTTTACTTGAAGATGAGTATTGTATCCACTTTAGAATGTGGTTTATCAAATCCCTGGGCTGTTGCTGCTCCTTGTCGCCCTGACTAAATATTTCCTCTACGGTGTCATTTAATATGTTAATGTCTAACAACATTACATGAGTAAAATTGGCCAAGAATATCTCCAACCCATGAGGCATTTGGTATTAATATATACTCCAGAGTGGAATCTCCTGATTTGTCAAATAAATCAAATTAATGTTGGTAGGTGTAAAGGACAATCAATCATACAGTAATTTAGTATTGTCATGGTGTTGTATAACATTGTTTATGACTCTTATTTTGTCTTTCTTGAATTTCATGATGGCAACTTGAACTATCTCAAAGGTCATTATAATTCTTTTATTTAAATTAAATGTATTGTTAATCTAGGAGAATTTAGAATTTGAGCAGTATACCGATTTCACTGTAGAATAGATTGATTGATTTAAATGTTGTAATTTTTCTTAAGCTATCATCCATTCATCTATACATAAAAATGTAAATATCCAGGGTTGTAGCTGTAGAAAACTAAAGGTGGGTGGTAGGGGTGTGTGGTAGATTTTAAGGGAGGACAAGGGGTAACTAAAGGTGGGTGTAGGCTATGAAATTAGCTTTAGACTGGGTGGGAAACTTCAAGGCTGGGTGACTCCACCCACCATAACTACATCCCTGAATATCGTGGAATATCTGTTATATTGATGTTGTACTATAGTGCCTAATATTACAGTAAGTCCTATTTCACACTATGGAAAGTAGGTTAATGAAGTTGTTGAGATTGTTAGGTAGGTACATTTATTGCTGCGAAGCAGCCAATTCATATTCTTGACAGCAGTTTGACCTCTGAAATGTCATTGTCAAAAATCAATCGCCTGAGACAACTGAAAAGCGGAGTTCCTTCTTACTTTCTGCCGGGTAAAATCAATTACTTTAGGCAACGTTTGTAGACTAACCTACTCGTACCAACGTCGGCATGTCGCGACGCTGGAGTACTATTCAGCGTTTTTACTATATTTCTAGGTTTCCTATTTCTACGTTTAATCGGCTCATGTCTCAGCCACAATATTTTGAAGACAATATTATTTACGAACACAGTTAAACTTATTTACTAGCCTATTTCAACGTGCTAATTATTACATTTAGGCGACTCTTGTTGTAGACTGGCATAGTGTTTGCGGAAATAAATACCATTTTATACACATGCGCAGATCGATTCGCCAGCAGCGAGTCATCGCCAGCAGAGAGATGTCACTGCAGCAAAACACTATTGTACCAACATACACATCTAGATGTGTATAAGAGACAGCGTAAATGTTGACGCACGCATACGCGCATGTTAAGTTGCGCGAACGGAAAATTAGGATACATAACATTCAACCTTGACCTGAAGATTATGCTCACTTCCATATTATTAACTAGTATTAGTCAAATATCGGCTATCACCAAGTCAAAATGTTGTTGATGTGTTGAATGACAACAGTGGTTTCTGATAGCACCTCCCTCATCTAAGCTCAGCTCATGGTATTGTTGTTCATGGTCTATTACACCATACAATTGTTACTCACAAGAGCTTTGAAAATCGCATCACCACTGATCCCTGAGTGTGTTCATTAGTGAGAATAGTGTGTTAAATATTCATCAAGTAAGCAAAGTCTACAGGTGCTCTATGGTCTCCTTCATCAAAGCTTCCTAATGTGCTTACACCTACCATTAATAATAGGGTCTAACAAGATGTGAATTGTTCTTTTGAAATTTTCTAGGCCATGCCATGCCCTACTGCATCTGAATGGTTAGTTGTTGCGTCCCAATTCAAAGTTTCCTTCTGCTTACCACTTTAAGACAGACTGTCAGAAATCCGTCTTCAGTTTGTACGAAAACATTTTAAAATAATATGTATTTTTACATATATTTGTCCTAATCGTCCACTTGCTGTTGAATTGCAAAATGACAACTCAACAGATGGTTAGATTGTTTGCTCTCAAATTGAATGGAATTATTAAAGTTTATATAGTAGCTATATAATTGTCGGCCGACTCACTAAAGAATTATAACAGTCTATTGCACTCCAATAGCCTGTTTTTCATCTACCGGTAATTTGTGTATAATACACATGAGATATCAAGGATAATGATAATGTGTTTTTTCTAACTTGTATTGTGATCAGTCAGTGTTAAGTTACACATTTATTATTGATGTTTTTAATGAAAACATATTTTTTTAACTTGTGATGAGCCATGTGTTGAATAATACATTTGTTAGTAATGTTTTTATTTTATCATAGTTTTCCCATCATCAGTGGTGGCCCCGGGGGGCCTCACTCTTAAATATTCTATACGGGGAGATGCCGCATTTAGGGGGTATATTTTCGAGGACTTGGTAGCACAAGTTTGAGAATGAAATCGGTAGTTAAAGTCCCTGTACCCTTTTGGTATGGCCACGAGATCACGACCAGACGGAACACCTTTTGCCATCGGGAACCAGTAAATATTGCGTCCTCTTTGGCACTATTAAGTTGCCTTTTTCCTGTCGTCTTTTAGAGCACAGTATGATTTTGGCTAATGGTAGTTCAAGTCCATAAGAATTTTCAGTAAAATAGGTAGCGCAAGTGTCCATGACTTGTAAATACATATGAGATGAAATTTCAACATTACTGTAAATGGAAAAGGAGTTCTAAGTCTTTTAATTTATCTTCACTTCATATTTTGGTATATTTGATTATTGTTATTTTTCTAAATGCTTTCACTACTTAAAATTTTATTTGGAAATTTTCCAAGGAGAAACTGATACAAATTTTTGTATTATATATTTAAAAAATTCAAGAATTCTACTCTGAAAGGTTTTACAAAGAGAAAAGTATTTACTGGTAATTATGTAGGAGTATCTTAGCTCAGATGTTTTAAGAACTGGGACTTACTGTCATTATTCATGTGACCGTAAGTTTTGGCTGCGTCATTGGTAGATTCTTACAACTGACATACTTCACCGCCCTTTGAGCTACAGAAGAGGATCTTAAGGAGTTCACAATTGTGAATAAACAAAGCTGTCATGGATCCTAAGATAAAAGGCTTTTAAATTAGTTTTAAAATCGTAGAATCACAGCAGGATCTGGTAAGAAAATCAGAGAATAGATAAACTAAATTCCTTAGCAAATTTAACTAGTCTAAAGTTCTAAAATGGCAACTTGTACAATGATGAAAGGGACAACCAAAAAAAAAAAAACTCAAAAGACCTTGTAAATCAAGGTGTCCGAAGTAAGAAAACACACACAAAGGCAAAAATTCCAAGACCAATAAGTGAATAAATAAAAAAAAGTGAATAAATTATTTTTTTTTAAATAATAATATTAATAAATAATAATAATATTAATAAATCTCCTATAGTCACAATATAGAACATAGGGAATGTAGGGAAAAAGTACAGTATGACTACCCACTTTTTGTATTCTTTTATCAAATGTTTTGACCATTAATGTGCTGTTTTGAGTAAGAAACATTAATCTGATGAAATTTTGTAAAATTTAATACACAAAATATAAACTGATAGCTACAATGAAGATATCTTGTGCGAGACTAAACAAAATTCCCCAGCTTTCTGATTTTGCAGATATGTAGCATAATTTGTTGACCACTATTTCTACTTTCAATGTGATCATTCCTCATTTAGAAGCTCTTGCTGAAACACTGTAATTTAAATAGAATTTAAAATTGATCTATTTTGTTTCTGGTGATATTGCAGGGACCTCAACTGTATAAACAGAATTTACTCCATGGAGTTGTTATTTAGACTCCCTGGACTAACTAGTCAATATATTATGTTTATTTGCAGTGAACTATTTGTAGCACTTGAAAAGGAATATTTTGAGTGAGGCTTTATCATATTATCGTAAAGCTTCTTGTTATCATATTGTTCCCTACAGGCCAGTCGGACTATAAATGGAGTTGAAGAAGGACCCAGCACATCAATATTAGCGTCTGTCGTATGATCGTATTTACGCCTGCCTGCACACTTACCTTGATAATGAAAACTTTTGCATGCTTGCATTGATGTTCTTTGAAGCACGATAGACGGTACTTTGGCACGCTTCAGACATTCTCCTAATAAATATAAAGTAAACAACTCTTTCAGATTACAACTGAACTATTTTAGAATTACCTTTATAGTTGACAACAACTAGAAAGCTTTGAGTTTCACTACTTTATTTATATTTTTGCCAGTTAGGATGCTTGCCTTTCAATCCTGTGACCTTGGGTTGAGACCAGAAAGAAGTTCAAATAATTATCTTTCTTGCCATTGATATTACAACATCAGAATTAATACCTTGATTATTTTTATTGCAATATAAACTCTCTTCGTGATTATGCTTTATTTTCTTGTCTTTGAAACATTATATGTATATGTAGATTGTTATATTTATTTTTTGGGAATTAACATGTTCTTCATTTATTATGAAAATGTACAATATAATACACATTTGATACCAGAAGAATAGAAATACTGCCAAAACTACAAGGTCATTCCTACTCTATTGCAATGTAAGAGAACAGCTCCACAGTTTACAATACCAAACAATGTACAATTCAAATGGATTCCATTTAGTGGTAGGCCTTATATGATGTTCAAATTAGAGGTATATCAATGCTACAGTACACTATTAGCTCAATAGATATCAAAGAGTTCATGTGAATTATTAATAATAACAAGAAATTTTCCGAAATAAAGGACAGGTAATACCCACCTGTTTTTCATATATTGTAAAGGTAATCGTGCGAATGACAAATTCAACAGATCTCAATATGATTGGTTATGTTGTGTACATTATATCAATCCATTTATTTTCAAAATAATTTTCAGCTGAGTTGCAGTGAATAGGGAGGATAAAGGAAGATTATCGATTGCTGGTACGTTTAAAGTCGCAATCACATTTATCTCATAGTTGGTAAACACAGCATTGAAAAAGCAAACTGATAGTACCATTTCAAGGTAATGTGCTTTAACAATGGTGGGGTTGAAGTGGGTGTGGAACACTTCTCAGACAATTTGGACCTCTTTCTGTTGACCTTGGACCTCCTGTCGGGGACTTTGGAATCCTCATTATGGGAATCTCTGGTACCACCTCTGGTCTATAGAAAATGTAAAAATCCTGAGCTCTCCGTTTTTTTATTGGCTATAATAATAATAATAATAATAATTTACATTTAAATACAGTATGACCCTTATTGCACAGTGTTACGTGGTGGCACGTCAGGCCGCCCATAGTTCTAAGGTCACATACTGTACCTCGTACATTGAGCGTACGTTGTTGTGCAATAAAGGTTATGGCTGAACCATGAGTTTGTGTGTAGCCAGGCTGTAATGTTTACACGTGTGTGTCTCAATCTCGATACTCACGATGCATGGTGGCAACGAGCCATTTACAGTAGTACATACATTTTACACACAGTGCTTATGCACTTCATGCCATACAGTCTAAAGTAGTTGGCAGATTGCACAGGAAACATAGCAGGTAAACATTTATTATTCATTTTCTTGGTATATCACAAAAGAAAATTCGAACAATAACATTTAAATAATAATTATTGTTATAATTATTAATAATATTATTATTATTATGCAGCACATCACCTTAGATCTAAACACATTCACTGACCATCAGAAAATAGTTTAAATGCTATCAGCTTCTGAGTGAGTCACTACAATCAGTGCAGCATCTGAATGCAAGACAACTGTGTGCGATATTGCTTGATGAGTGATGAACGTATGTAGTATGCCGTCATGCCTGGCTCACCTATGACTGAATAAAGCTACAAATGTTTATGTAAAATTATTGCTAGATGAGTAACTGATGAAGTTTGTTGTATCAGCAGATTGAAGTGGAGGGGGAATGCACAGTGCATAACCAACACTGGTGTATCAGTTGTGTATTATCTAGGAATCTTGAAATGGGGGGAGGGGGCTGATGTGGGGCATGAAGGCGAAATGGAGTAGACTTGATGAATAGGTGAGGAAATGTTAGTTCACAAAACAAGGTGATTTAATGTGATTTTAACTACTTGAGTTTGATTTTCTGTGCTTTAAACATTTTAAATGGGGGTGAGGACAACTGGGGCACAAGTATTTTTAGGGGGGAGTGCATCCCCTAAATACGCTACTGCTAACAGAAAAAAGTATCCACCCTCACAAAAATAAGTATCTAAATAGAGTAAGAAATGATTCTTGTTTTGAATTCAGGATAAACATGAAATATGTAATACAAACAAGTTGCTAGTTCAATGATGTCAATATTTTCCATGCTTCTTTAATTATTCAAATCAGGTGATGATAAACCTCAAGGCATTTTCTTTATCACATTGAAATATTGTGGACTAACTTAATCTCTTTAAGATTTCAAGATCTTAATGAGTCGTGCTAATTAGTTCTATTCTTCATCAATTTCCATAATTAGCCAGTAATTAGTGTACCATCTGAGAACACAATCATCATGAAGAAGATTCTGTAGCCATGCACATGCTGTCAGGATCCTGTCTGCCTCAATAGTGTAAATTGATTGCTTTCGTGGTGTAATTCTTCTGAATATGTAGTATGTGATGAAGTAAATTGTTTAAATTGATGGCATGTATAACTCATCCTTATGAGTGTTCCTAATCCTGCTCTTTTTACTATTGTTAAGCAAGGTACAGATGCCCAAGGCATGAGTTTATTTATTCTAAGGATTGCTTCAGGAACAGAAGATCACAAATACTTTTGTCTATGGTGTCATTTCACCTTAATAAAACCCAAAATTGTGTGGCTTCAAGCTGTTTTGTCACCTTCAGATCAATTGTTTCATTTTGGTTTAAGTTGAAATCTTAGGCATGGTGGCTCTATATATTTCATTATATGCATATAATTAAAAAAGAAGACAAAACTTATACCACTTAATTTTTTTTTTCAAATTGTGCAGAGAGTATAATACCGAAATGTGTTCAGAAAACAATAAAATAGGAAATAAGTGCAATGTCATCGAGCCATACACAGTGGGGAAGAAAAAAAAAACTCCAAACCTATAGATTTTGTGATTGTTTGTGAAGAATAAGCAAGCCTCAAGGACATCTGAAGTGTCATTAATTATCTGAGTTTTGAATATAAAGTGAGGGATTTGATTCCTTTAGAGAGCAGTAACAATAATGGTCTATTTGATACCACCATTTCTGTTAACAATATTGGATTATTTCAAGATTTGCAAATGAAAGAAACATATCATTAAATTGTCATATAGCATTGAACCAGCATTCTCCTTTCTCCTGAAGTGCCCTCATCAAACTTCAATATCATAAACTTTGCAGCTCTAGGAAAATTGTTCTCTAGCTTTCAAAAGTACCGTATTCATCTATTAATTTCCCTCACTTTCTAAACTTTGCTCTTCACCACTTCAAGAATACCATCTGTCTATTAATCTTCAAAACTTAAGATAAGTACCTTCATAATTTGCTGCACTGTAATAATCATGGAGGTATTATAGTAGCTGTAATGCAGAACATTTCTCAAGAACCAACAAAATAACGTCACACTAATATAGTCAATAAGCTATTTTTCATCATTTTTTAAAGACAATCGAATAGTATGAATGTCCAGAACCACAAGCTATTCGTTTTTTTGTTAGTTTATATTTATATTAAACGTAATCAGTGCATTTGTTTATCCTGAGATCACTCATCAAAGTCAAACAGCACTTACATAAGTTTTTTCCTCTTGTTTTTTTACAGTGATGACATTTGCAATTAGCAGTTAGCAGTTGAATGACGACCACGCAGAGTGATGAAGCAATTCTGGAATATATTATGTAATGAAATACATATGCTGAAGTTTGCTTTAAGAATGCAGTGGCCTAAGTCTATTACAGAAAGCTTGCCATTTCTCTCAACATTTCTTGTTAGAGACTTAAATTCATGTCTTAATTAATTATTGGTATGTATGTTGTTATGATTGTGCAATACTTACTATACATTATGCAAATATTTTTGCTAGATCTCTGTCGTTTTCAGTGTTCATCAAGATAAAATTCAACTTAAAATCTGTAATTTACTATATTTTTGGACCAATATATTCTATCTGCTCTTGCCTACTAATGGCTAAAAACATAGAACCTATAAGATCAGCTTCATTACTTAGAACAACCCTATGGAATCGCATCCTTAGCAATCTCACTCAAGTAGATATGTGAAATTAAATCCATAACTGAAGTACATTAAGAAGTCCCATATCCTGTATGTATACTTAACATTGTGTGCACATACCAATACCAATGTTATCAATACCAGAATTAAGTTTTTACAATCTTCCGTGTATGTAAATGTTTCAATGGACATATTTTTTGTTTTAATGAAAATTCCAAAGAAGTGAAATTGATTCCATAACTGAAAACTTCAATTATTTAAACTCAAAACTTTCACAGGGAATTAATAGTATAGTAATTGTTATTTTATATTAAGATGTCGTAGGTAATTTTTTCTTATTTCATTTACAGTTTTCCAAACGGCTTATAATTTATTCTTAGTTGGGAAAACCGTTGGGTAGGGGCATGCATTTATCATTAAGTATCAGTGGTCGTTTCAGACCTAGCAATATGTCATTGATCCAGAGTAGCCCGGACTGAAATTATTTAGTGCCAAAATCAGTAAAAACTTCAAGAACTTGTTTCATTTCATTTTCATATACTTTTTTCTAATAGAATCCCTGTAGAACTTAAAAGCAAAGTAAACTCACAGGAATATATTGCTGTACATGATATAGCATATAAGCTGACCATATCTCTATTTCTTCATTCCGTACCATGGACATGCATCTTTTGGATAGCATATTTGTTTCTTCGGTATATTATCTAATTTGACTGAAATGGGTCAAAACACAAGCTGGTACATTATACAATAAGATCTCTTCTATTTCAGTATCATAAATGACCATTTTGTTCCAGTTTCATTATATAGACCAAAGGTTGGTATATCTCAACTAACTAATAATAAATTCAAGTGTAAGTTTTTTAAATTAATGTGTATATAAATATAGGCTACATCAATAAAAAAAAAATTATACTGTAGTTTATTATGTTTATATCATATATGTCTTATTGAGAAGATATATTTGTGAAAAAGTAATAATATCTCTCTTCTCAGAGCCTCGCTTTTCTGTTACGGTAAATATCACAACTGTCATCATGTTATGATATTTATATACAAGTATGAAAAATTGAGTTTGTGATCAAGTTCCCAGGCTTCCTGATTGCGTAGTTATATGCAGGTCAACCGATCTCTGCACGCTCACGTGCGCTCTCAGGTAATATTTTTAGATGAATTTGAGTTAGGCCTCGAGTTGAGGTCTGTTGTCGTTTCTCATCGCTAATTGATGAGTTGCTGCAGGGCAAGTGCCTCATTTAGATCTTACTACTTGTAGGTTTTATCAATTACGATATGATCCTGTTATTGAAACTGTGGCACTCATCTGGGACGTACCAAGTCATTCAAATTTAATAGGCAGGTATTTGCATACCTAGTTGTATATTATATGTATATTAGATTGATTATGTTGTTTATTCAATGGTATCTTATGCAAGTTGTTCTAGTTGTAACCTTCAAAAAAATAACAATACAAAGCAGTGACTTATATTATTTAAGTATTAAATTTAGTATGTAATTATATTAAGACAATATTTAATTGTGCAACTGTTTCTAACCAATAAAGTGAAACCAGACTATACTGCCTCTTAATTCTATGATTAAATGTTAATTATGTATACATTATGATGAATTCAGTAGACTTGGTATGTTAATTCAGCAGGTCCATTTTAATTATAATGAAGCGTGCACTCAATAAATTTAGGATATACATTGTTTCTATCAGGAGTTTACAGTTTGGAAGACTTTCATTGATGTGTTTATATTGTAATCAAAACAAATTACTTATCATGATTACCAGTGAGCAAGTACTAGTACTTAACTGTTAAAGAGTTATTTTTAACAAGTAGTACAAGTACTGTAGTAGTATTGAAATGGTTACACCCAAATAGGATTTCTGTTTTTTGGACAATAAATTAATCTTGAATCTTGAATCATAATTCCAGAGATTGCATTTCGTGTTTTGTTCAAAAAAAAAAAATCCATAGATGTTCCTCTTGAAAAAAAAAAAAAGAAAAAAAAAAGCTTTTTAAAAGTCAAGACTTCAACACATTTTTTTTTTCTTGATGGTAGCCCTTACAACATTAGCTGATATCAAGGTGCCCTCATGTAATACATGGAGCAGTGAAATAAACATAGAGGTCATAGAGGCAATTCTTTTTACCCATTATACAACTTGATGTGATGACAAATTACTTCTCGTTTTAACCAGGTGATTTGTAATCGGTAAAAATCTTGCACAGTGTGCATCCGCATGAACATTCAGCGTGGACCAACATCGAATGATCATATCATGGCAGTTGTCCAATTTTTCTCCTAGAGAAAGTAAAGGACACAATTGAGGGATATCGTGAGGGATCTCCCCGCCCCCACACACACACACTAAAAAAAATGCTTGTGGCCTCCCATCCTCTATTGAAAATGTACAAAGCATACAAATCATGCTCACATGGAAAAAATTTACCTTATTTTATGACCTTGCTTCCCTTCACTTAATCATTGAAGTACCCCACTGCACCTTTGCTCCCCCTCTCCACCTTTGCTCTCCCTCTCCACCTTTGCTCCCCTCCTCCTCCCCTCATTTCAAGACACTTAGATACACTAGATGGGATTTGAACCCAGGACATCAAAGGTGAGATCCTATGCCACTGCGCCAACTACGCATACATACAGGAAATACTCTAATACTAAAATTTACATCTAAGATGTTCATCTCACTCATTGACTGCTGGAAGCCATTGGGTTATATTCCATTACTCTGAATTAACTAAATTACTTTGAAGAAGTAATGCAAGTTATTTCTAGTTGCTGGTTTAGTTTCACATTCATCAGAATTCATGTATGGTCACTTAAATGAGTTTTCTTAACAACTTTGATCTAAATCAAAAGTAAACTGATTAGGTTAATATAGTGAATCACTATATCAAGTAAAAACATACTTAAGAGTTTGCTGATTGACTGATCAGTCTTCAACAATATTAAAAACTCAATTTTTATTACATTTTGTGAGATGTTTTTTATATGAAGTTAGGGAGGTGAAAGCAAAAACAGCTTAGCAATATGGTAATTTAAGTTAATCCCATTCAAAATGAAATGGGGGAGGAGATGCATGTAGCATGCAAACCCTAGCCAGGTAGCCACAAGAGGGTTGTTGTGGTGTAGGCATTTCTATAGTTATTGACATTTAATGCATATTAATGATAATATTAGTTCTGTTGAGTAAAAGAACACAATTTTTATTTTACCTATTTATGCGCAAAGTAGAAAAAGTGTTGTTAAACACATTTTCCACGTAATCTCTACAACCACCATGCCAGTCAGTCAGCAGAAATACAGAAATCCAGCCTTCACCGTGTGTAACTATATCGGTACTCCTTAAATTCAAGATTTTGATGGAGAGTTTTGAGTATACACAGGGGTATTCAATCGTAGTAGTTACGAAATGAACATTAGTGGTGTTCAATGCGTGATGCTCCCTCAGGGAGCAATTGAACTCCACTCTTCGGGTTGAGTTAAACATTGAAAATGAAGACGAATGGCAATATAATGTTAGAATCAGCACACCTTGGTAACATTTGCTGCTCTCCGATCCTATTACAGAAGTCATATTTTATAAAAGAAGGAAGATTCATGATTCAAGGATACAACATGCACCTCACATGTACAGATCTTAAATGCCATTTTCACATGCTTATGTGTTAGGTATGCTCTCATCCAATCGCAAAATGGAAGCTCAGGATGTTTACCTTATTGTTGAATTGTGAATAGATGAATGTGGGCTCCAAAATTAATGGTATTAAAAAAAATAAGCATAAATTTACCTGTTCATACAATGCCTATGCAGCTGACTCTTTTTTTAAATATATGTGGTTTACATTTCATATTTATTAAATTTATTTAATTTTGTTTTCAATAATTTATTATTTTTTTCCTATAATTTCAGATATGATTGTTCTTATCACATAAAACGAAATAACTTGAGGCTTGTGCGGTGTAGTTGTGAATTATCCATCTGCCATCGCATAAGCTTATCACATTTCCATCTATATTTCTGTATACGAATTAATCATTAACGACAAACCATATAAATTCACAGGTTATAATCACATAATATGTTAAAGCATGATGCTTCAAAATTAGTTTTATCGATAAGCTGCTTCCTACAAATTCCCTAGCTTGCGAGGACTGATTTTCATAATTTGTGGTGTATCCTTGACTAAGCACATTAATGATGACGAGTGCACAAGACTGCAATGTCTTACAAATTCCCATTATTACCCTCATTACTTGCTGCCCCTCTGCTCATGTATCATTTTGGGTGCTTGTTGAGATGGTCCCTAATCATACTATATTCTCATGAGCAGTGGGCTAAGCTCATCTCATATTATTTAAATTTGGTTTTGATGTTTCAGATTATTTCATAGCTAACCTACCCCCCACATTGCGCTAGAGGCCCTAGCTTCTCATGAGAAATTCAATAATTGTGTTTTTAGAAATAACCTCCATTTCTTTATTTGAACAACTGTTGTTGTATGCCCATATGTAGTCATGATGTGCCTATATTTGGTCATGATGTGATGTCATCATTACCATATTTAGGCATGTCACATGCTTTCGTCAAATAACATTTTATAGTCATCAGATCCAACATGGAAGGTAGTACAGTTGGACTTGGATAGATACTTCATACAATTCTAGCTTTAAATATTTATGTTTGTGTTGTGTATATTTTTCTTATTAAATTATTGTTGTTATTTATTGTACTCAAACATATAGACTCTTGTGTTGTGTGCTTATAGAAATACAAGTTATAATAAAATGGAATAGAAATAAATATATTGTACAATACAATAGGAAAACCAGTTTAAACAGACCTATCAAAGAGGAACAGATGAAATGATTAACATAACACAGGCTGATGACAGTAATGAATATGATGAGGAGTGTTGACTACTTCAATTATATATGGCACATCGCAATTGAAATATAGGAGGCCAATCCGCAATTTTAAATAACAAAAGGAACAAAGGTAGGAGAGGCAGTACAAGTGGGAAGGGGAAATCCCCCTCCCCCTTGGGGAGAGCTGGAGAAAACACAATTCATCGGAAATCGATTAAATAAGCCTTTGAAACCCCAGAATTGTCATAGTCGAAGCCCATTGATACAAGAGATTTTCAGCAGCGCCCGAAAAACTCTCACTTACGCTTTCATTGGACCCCCTTGGGCAAAACCTGGCGCCACCCCTGAAAGGTAGAAGAGTCGTGTGAAAAAAGTAGACATTTTCTACACTAAAAAAGGTCTAAAATAGAGTAATCGGGTGGTGATATATATCCTTATTTAAATAATTTTGTACTGAGTTAAATATAACAATAATAAAGTTGGATGGTAAAAGTGCTTGAACAGACGTCTACACCATAAACTGTATAAGAAAGCTACACTTTGACATTGGGGTGTGTTGTTTTCACTCGCGATAATTAGCTAGATTTTCCTGGAATTATTAAATGAATTACTCACATAACTATTGTATCTGTATTCCTCAATTACAATTTTCAAATTAATTGTTAATTAAGTCAAAATATGCTATAAATAGGCTACATAATAATTGGTTATTCCGGTTGTACAATATAAAACCCCCCCTTTTCAACAATCGACTCTCTTGTCTTCAGTGATTGGTCGATCTTTGCGTGTTTTATTGTTTTGTGGTGTGTGTGTATTCTGTGGTTGCTGGAAGTCCGACTTTAGAATACACCTGACCGGTTGGATGGGGTGAAGTTCTTGATATTTTTACTGGATATTCTTATTATAAAAGGAACTAATACTCTCATATACAATACTTAATTTAGGTAAGTTTATCTGCTGATGTGTTGATTTATTTGATTCATCCATGTAGGGCCTACATCTGTACGTGGTGTGATGTGTAGTAGGGTTAAGTACGGTGTTTAGACTAGAGGAGTGGGTTATTAAGTTACCTGCACGGCGGTGAACAGTAAAGAGTGATTCAATGGTTATAAATGTTGCGAGGGAGTGAGTGTACGACACCTCTTTATTGAGTCACATTTCTGTAGCCCACGCTGGTCGATTATTTGGGTGGAGAGAACGAAATGTTGGCTTTTTGGAATATGTTGAATTAATTTACCAGATCTGCCAAAGACTGTCAGGATCGGGCTTGCGTTAATTGACGGACGGCGACGATATCGCCGTTTTCAGGGACACAGGTAAGTTTGACACACCGACCACAGCTGCACCGTCTGCTCCAGAAATACGGAGGCCTACTACATCGTTATCGTTAGGAAATGTATATAGGAAGACTAATCGCATGAACATCATTAACACATCGGTAAAATTTAATCTACGATATTTATAGAGATAATGAAAAAACGAACTGTAATGTAATGGTAGCCTTATTATGGTACTGTCTTTTTCTTGCTTTCAAATTTGTTAATTTTTTTAGTTCCTTGTTGAAACAAGTTTCTCTTGTATAAATATAACTAATTATCATTAATTATAACATTTTTGTGTGTTATATTCTATCACTATGGATTGTAACTCTAGTGTTGAAATTGACAAGTAATTAATAGGGTGCATATACATATAGGGTTGGCCAAATGTCATGATGTAGTGAAAACCCACCAGTTGGTGATAAAGCATATTTTATAATAATATAATTTTGAATAGAAGCAGTATTAAGTACTCTATGTAAATGTTCTATTATGTATAAAAATAATTGTGCTTACAATTGTTTTTATGTATTTGTGACTTCCGAAATCTGTCAGTGTCATCAAATAATGCTACTGATAATACAGTATATACATATACTACTATTAATGCAAAAATACCTATGTATTTTGTTTTTGCCAAGTCTTTTAAAAGTGGAATATTAAAATTTAATTCAAAATTACTTTATAATCCAAAATAATAATGTAAAAGTGACACTGCAGTTCACAATCGGAGACATCTACTGTACCTGTCTGATTAATGGAGGGAGTAAAGTAGGCTAACTAATATCATAAGCCTTGACTTATTTGCATAATCATATGTGAGCATATCAGTGCTTTCTGATACTGTACAACAATATTCTCATATTTTAACCTCCAGTTGATCAAGATTATGTTTTATGTTTATGTTTGACTATTTTTGTATTTGTTGTTGGCTGGCATTAAAATTGTGCAGGTAGATGCAACTAGATTTTGTTATTTATTTCAAATAAATCCTCCGCAGAAAAAATATATTGCTACATTTATTAAAGGAGAAAAAAATCTACTGGCGATGCTTTATATATAAGTTATTGTAGTTTGATGATTGAGGTTGATTAATAAAACAGGGCTTTTTTGGAAAGTATACTAATGACTCTGGGATTAAATAACTAACTTAGCTCTACATGGTACTTTTGTTTATCAGTGGTGCCTCATGAAATAGATAAGTTAAAGCATGGTTAAATCATCCATCTACTTAATAATAATGTGTGATGCTAAATGAAGGTTTCTCATTGGTTCTTTTGTGTTGACCCTCTCCCAGCTCCTGCTGAGTATACTCACTCCAAAGCTGGCAGTGCCAAATGTGATGCCAGCCTGGAGCTAAATATGCCTGAGGGGGGATCATGCGTCCTTGTTGTTATAAACAGTTCATAGAGTAGGACCAAAGCTTAAGCCAACCGATCACAAAACAAAGCTTTATTTGCGAGGTAGTCATAAACGCGAAATTGGGTGGCCATTGTCCGTACAATTGATTACCAGTCAACGTATTTGTTACGCATATGTTAATAAAGGGTGCTTACTTTGTTAACCATGCTTTATTTAAAATAAATTCCCCCAGTCAGCATGCACTTACTGAGGTCTAATGTTGTTATGCTAAATGCACTTATTCATTTAAACTTCCTTGGTTTTCATCAACATCTCATTAAGATACTGAGTGTGACTGTAGTGTCACTTATTATTTTTACAAATAATTTAATGCAATTACAATAATGTAGTAGATTATATTGGGAATAATTTCACAACCAAATAACTTCAAGTTTGATGTTATTACGTGTACATTTATGGTCGGTGCATTTGAAGTGTAGCAAGAATCTGGCTCTGCATAAATGTGTGCAATACTGTTTGTGTACAGTTAAAATAACAGCAATATTGTATTTATTCTATTGCCTGGTTTTTTTGTTTTTTTTCTTACATAAAGGATCTGATCAAGAATTTCATCGCCTAAGTGTATGCTCATTTTTGTCACATAATGATTTTATATTATTAGCTATAGTATGCATATTATGAAACTAATAAATGCACTGAAATATAATGAATGAATTCATTTGTGTTCCATGAACTGGACTACTTTCTGTAATAATCCATAATAAGATAATAGATTTATTGTGATAATCTGGGCTCATTTATTCTGAAAAGCTAAATTAGACAGTTTATTCCAATCAAAAACAGTCATGTCATCCTTTGTTTCTCATTTCTGAAATATCAATAAATATAATAGATAGATACTCTACAATACAAATTTATAGCCAAAGTACTGTACAGTACGTGGGAAAAATTTAAGTACAGTGTAGGTATTATAAAATACAATCGGTTGACATTACATGTACAGTATTTTGCCAATCATGTCTGGCAACTACAATACTTTCACTCCTTACAGTATGTCCTGAATTTAAACTTGTAGAGTATCCCAGCCATAGTGTTTTTTGCTATTTTTATGACAGAGACCAAATTTGGTATTCCTGATTCAGAATTACAGGTTTCTTAAACAAGTCTGCTTCCTAAGCCTTATAATTAGTTTAATTTTAAAAACCTATAATTTGATTTCCATCCTGAATCTTTAGTTTCATTTTATTTTGATCTTAGCGTAGGGTCACCCACGTAAAACACAATTGAATGTTAACGTATAGGCCTACAAACCTAATACATTGTTGACCTACTGTAGCAAATGACAATTTTATCCGAGAGTGACTTGGTGTGTGAAAATTGTCAAAAATGTGAATGCCAAAGGTACACATAAATGCAGGAAAAAGAAGGTCAGGTCAGTTGTTGAAGATGAGTAGGATTGTTTAGTGTTGTCGTTGATCGTAATTAATGATACGCTTGCTTTCTTTCACCGTCATACTGTCCAAACTATCTCATGATATATTGTTTATGATTTACATGATATCACTGTACAACCTTATTTGAGTGTACAATATGTAATGTGCAGTAGATGTCAAAATAGTAAGCTATAAAAATTACATCCTCATCATCGTCTGTACTTCTCTCATTCTGGAGGCTGGTAACTGCTGACGTCATCCTCCTTCATAAACATGGCACCATCTGACCCTTGGACAGCAGGGGACAAGTAACCTGAGATTGCTTGTTCAGTGATTGTTATCAAACATCTTGAGTTGATAGTCCTCGATAGGAAAAAAAAAATTAATTGAATTAATGACTATGGTTGTACAGCTACAGTACCCTTTTATTTTACGAATTTTCCTAACTACTAAATGAAATATTAACTCTCATATAAAAGAGTGCACAGGGTTAATGTTAAGTAAACAAAAGTAATTTTAGATGTTACTACTGTGTTTGAAGACTAAATCAGTTTGAAACACAGTACTGTCAATTATTTATTGTCCTACAGTACTTCAAACCTATGTTTTATTAAGTTGTTAATTATTGCAATGTAAATTTAAACATGCTTTTATTGATTTAATTAATAAAAGAAAATGTAAATATCTAAGTACTGTAATTGAAAGGTGAAACTTTGTGATAATTCTGAGCTAACACTTGAATGACTGTACATTACTTAACACTACTGTGCAGTTAGTAGATGCGGGTAGATGTTACATCTCTTCTGTATTAGAGAATAATCCCTCGGGGAGCAAAGTATATGTTCCTTATATAGGCATTTGATCTAATGATCCTGGATAATAATGTGAATTGCTGATGTCTTGGCATTGTGTGCTTCATCGTTGTATACCTGTTGAAAATGTAATATCATTTGCTCTCATTTGATTGGCTAAAATGCTGTGGAATCCTATATGTTCATCTATATGGCACTTAATATTTTCTGTATTATACTGTAATACATTACATTACATTATTATTGTATATGTATTATATTGTGCAAAGATTGGCTTTGAACTAGCTTTATTCTGTTACAATATTTGATGAATAATATTATATTACTTGCTTGTATAATAACCTCCAGTATATTCCTTCAAGATAGTTTACCTTGCATATTATATAATATTTTCATCATTATTGCCTATAACAGATTGATTTAGTTGATTGAATTTTTATAAAATCAAGTTACAAAAATGGAAACTGATATTGCCACTTTACTAGAATTAATTCAATTTAACAACATCAAAAACATGAACAAAAAATGGTTAAAGGTAGTACATGGTGCCAATCTGCACTTAAGAATCCTTCATTTTATTATTTTAATTTAATACCAGAATTACAAAATAATTAATTCATTGAAATATATATACTCGCCACTGAGGAAGGACCAGTGTTGTCCGAAAGCTCTGGTTTTATTTCTGGCTGTTTACTTACGTTTACTTTTTAGCTGTTGCTTATCATTTTTGTATCTCTACTGAGATCCAGCCATTGTTTCCCACAGCATTGTTGT